TCCTCAACAAAGGCCCATAGAGAAACTGAACTGTAGTGAAGTGGAAAAGCTTCAGTTTGAAAGGGAGGCAACACAGAGAAAGGATTTGAACAGAGAAAGGGCTTACAAAGGAGAGTTGTGTTGGCATCCATGCAAAGAATTGTGATGTTCAGGAGGGCCAAAGCTAAGACGATCAAGTGGGCCAATGCCACAGAATTGTTCGGAGTGGTCAGAGTTAAAACTGGCTGTGCAGAGGTGCAGGAGCTCTCATTACTCTAAGTAATTGGAGGTTAAAACAGCAGATGCAGCTCATTATCAATGAACAAAAAGTAATGGATACAGGGAAAAGCAACTCCAGCTGTATGCTTGGAATAATAGGCTCTAAATTAGCTATTACCATGTAAGAAGATTTTGGAGTAACTGTGGATAGCCCTTCAAAAACAGAAGCTTGAGGCTCTGTGGAGGTCAAAAAGGCAATCAGAGCACTATGAATTATTAGGACAGGAATAAGTAGCAAAGCAAATGTGTGTTATGCCAAGACACTAATTTTAGGAGCCTACACACTGTCTGTGATTCCCATCCACTTCATCTCAGAAAGGAGTGGTAATTTTAGAAAAGGAGGAAAGTAGAGCAGGAAGGATGATCAGAGACATGGAACAGCTTCTGGAGAAAGTGGAATAACAGAACAAGACTGAAGCTTGTAAAAGTGATGTCTGATGGGGTTGTGACACAGATTTCCAGTCATGAGCAGCATGGAGAGGAGTCAAGCACTGTCCTCTTGTCACTGCTGCTCCAAACACATGAAGGAGGGGTGTCTGATGGCCTTATCAGGCAGCAGATTTAAAACAAAGAGAAGGAAGCGTTTTTTCATCCAACAGATAATTAAACTATGGAAGTCACTGACCAGGATGTTGTGGGTATTTATCCTAAGGGATAAATGGATTCAAAAAGCAATTAGGTAACTTCCTGGATGAAGATCTCTCTGAGGCTATTAACCACTGTGATGTAAATACAACTCTGTAAATACTTGTCCTGTTTCTCATTCTCCTTCCCTGAGCACTTGCTGCAGATGCCAGTCAGAGACAGGAGTCTGGGCCGCATGGGTCTTTGGCCAGATGCATTTTAGCTGCCTTTAAGTCTGTGCCACCAGAGTTACTAATGGATCCTGCTGAGATCAGTGTGGATGGAGTTGTGTGGTCTTCTCCCATTTTCCAGCAAGGGGATGGAGAGACAGTTGCTGAAGCCTCTCACCTGAGATCTCAAAAGGTTTGCATGAAAGGAGTGCAGGTGCCATGTGTTGCCTGGTTCATTTTTGATACCTGCACACTGAAATAAGGCCACTGCCTCCTTCCTCCTACCTTTCTCTAAAGACAGATTGATATAACTGAAGAATCGTTTGTTTGCCAAAGCCTTTGCTCCCAGCAGCCAGGGCAGCTCTGAGGGACAGTGTTGCTATTCACATGCTGATTCTCTCCACTTTACACAGAGCTCACCAACATGAAAATAAAACCAGCAATCACTTGCAAGGATTGTGTATCCACCTAATGAGGATCAGATGAGTTGTTCTCCCTCCCCCAGAGCCTCTCCCACCTCAGAAGATTTATGTGGCTGAATGTGTTTGTTCTGATCAATTGCTGTGTTGCAGACAGGAATACAAATATCAAAGGGAGAAGATTACACTTTTGATCCAAAGCCCTCTAAAGTCAGCAGAAAGGCTCCTGATGCTCACAAAAAAGGTTTTGGCTGCAGTGAAAAAGATGAAACTTTTGGTCAGCTTCAATGAACAAAGCACCTTGTTAGGCAGTGACAGATTTTATACAACCAGAGCTATTTCCCCGTGAATAAATCATTGCATTTGCCTCTCCTAATGGGAGGATTAACATGTTTAAGACATGAATTCAGCACCAGATCTGATTTGTTGTGCTTACTTTTCACTCATCTTCTGACAAGAAATATGCAACAGAAGCAAAGGTGCTATTTTTGGTGGTTTTTTTTCTATCCAGAAACTTGGCACTTAGACTGAAAAGCAGCAGCAGGTATCTGGTGTATTTTGCTGACCAGAAGTATTTCACCACCAGGATACAGGAGCCTGAAAGCAGCATTTAATAATTTCTTCGATCCTCAGAGTCATTAACCTGAGCATTCATTAAATTAGTGTTACTGGAAGCATCACAGAGCCGAGATAATTGTCCCAGCATTCAAAAACTTGCTCCTCCCACACCTTCTCCTACACAAGAATGGAAAACCTTGGGCTGGCATTTCTGAGAGCTTAAGGTGGATACAGGAATATTTGGAAGTGTCCAAAACCAGAATTTCTTTTCTCCAACTTTAGCCCTAACCAGGCTACTGATTCATCTGAGCTACTGCTATAATTCTGTGAGTGAGATTGTCACACAGAGAGGATGATTTAACCCACTTTGTGAAAAAATCATTGTGTTGAACAGCTAAAGTTAAGAGAAATAGGATGTTAGAAGTTGCACCCATGAAGCAGAGCAGCTCAGCCCATGTGAAAAGGGATCTGAAGCAGGATTTGGGTCTCAGGGCTTGTGGATTAGAGAAATGGATTTGCAGCTGCTGCCTGGGTTGTCACAGCATTGCTGAACTCCTTCTCTGCCCAGGTTTGAAGTCACTGACTGTTCCCCAAGGCCTGCAGACAGATCCCCCTTTCCCCACCAACCATGGACATGGTTAAACTGGCAAACAGGGAAGATGAGATCTGATTTGAAAGGAAAACTGCATGAGGCCTAGTTTAAATAGGGATTCCTGGCTCATGCAAATCACATCCCTTTTCTGCCATGGTTTTCTCAGCTATGAAACACGATAAGACATTGCCCCCAAGGATAGTCACAAGGTATCAGGAATTAACTGGTGTTTAAACACCCTGCAAGAAAGATCCTTTGCAAGTGTGAACAGCCTCCAAATTGGACACTGAAGTTGATCTGCCCCATGGTGAGCAGGGGCTCTACCAGTGCTAGAAGTCCTGTGTGCTGGGAAGAGCTGTCCCGGCGCATCCCGACACCTCAGTGGAGAGGGCTGTCAGTGCTGCTGCGTCACTGCCTCGCACACAGCTCCCACTCTCCTCACTCCATTTATTAGCCTTGTGTAGGAGGTTCCAAGTGCCTTCCTCTCACTACCAGGATAATGCATTTGGCCTGTTCTTGCCCCAAGGGAATTAGCAGTAAAATTCCCAGTAATTGAATTGTGTGGAGATGCTCATTCATTCCAACAGGATGCCAGAGCCAAGGACACTGATAACCCATGGTTCCAAGGTCACTGCAAGGTCACTAATGTGATTCATGCAAAGTTTTGGTTGAAATAGGGTCAGGAAATGTCTTTAGATGCTGAGTTTGAAGAGGGTCCAGGAGCAATGGTTGAGATAGAAGGACATGGCTACAATAACACAATTTCAGTGCAAACAGCATTGTATTTGCAGCAATTCAATGATCTTAAAGGTCTTTTCCAACCTAAATGATTCTGTGATCCTGTGAGGCATTCCATCTCAGGATATTCTGTGATTCTGGGAATATTTCCTCTATATTTATCTTCATTTTTCCCTTCTGTATGCTAGTTGAACCAAAACAAATAGGCAAAAGATAAAGATAAGCATATTAATGACCTGGACCCTCCATCTAGTGGAGTAGGAATTCAGCCATAGACTCTTGTGATGCTGATGAGCTGCATAGGGGACTGTGGTCACTTCCTCGCTCATTAATTAATGTGTGTTAGCTCAGGGTAGCTGCTGCAGAAGGGGATTCATCCATTAATGACAAAGATGTTTCTCAAAGCAGGGAAGGACAACATTTCCCAGTAAAGTTTGCCGTCTTGGGAAATGGGTTTGCAATGAATTTATTTACCATATATGCTGGAGATGGGGCAGAAAAAGATTCAAACCCACTGTGGAAGGAAACTTATTTAGAGCAGGGGCTGCACAGCACTGAGGATGTGCATAGAATCATAGAATGATTTGGGCTGGAAGGGACCTTAAACTCCACCCCCTGTCATGGCCAGGGACACCTTCTATCAGACCAGGTTGCCCCAAGCCCCATCCAACCTGGCCTGGAACACTTCCAGGGATGGAGCAGCCACAGCTGCTCTGGGCAACCTGTGCCAGTGCCTCACCACCCTCACAGGCAAGAATTCTTTCCCAATATCCCATCTAACCCTGCCCTCTGGCAGACTGAAGCCATTCTCCTTGAATTGTCCCTCCAGGCTCTTGGCCAAAGTCCCTCCCCAGCTCTCTTGGAGCCCCTTTAGGCTCTGAAAGGGGCTCTAAGGTCTCCCCAGAGTCTTCTTGTCTCCAAGCTTAACACTCACAGCTTTCTCAGTCTTTCCTCTGAGAAGTGCTGTACCTGGCTGGGTGGATTTCGTGCTGGTTTCTTTTCTCCCTGGGGTTGTGTTCAGACATTCCATAGTTAGATATGCTCTTGGTGTTCCAGCTACAGCAGCCAACAGGAGAATATTCCTCTTTTTGAGGTGGCTGAAGTGTGCATTTGAAGCCTTGCACACACTGGGGGAGTGATGGTTCTCCTTGTAGCAGGCAAGTTTTCACTAAAATGTCTGTGGTTTCAAGAAGGATTTGTCAGGATTATTGTTCATCTCCTGTCCAGTGTGTGGATGCTAGCTCCCAAAATTCACAGTGGCAGGTACCCAGCACCTACATACACCAGTTCTGCAGAGAAGACAGGGACTGAATGAGCAGTCACAGCAAATGTCCCTTTTCACTTCTGGATGTTTTCTCTTGGTGACAGGATTCAGGTATCCTCCTGAAGCCATGGGAGCATGAGGAGAAGGCTGGGAAGGACAGGGTAGTGCATTGAGCTTGTGACTGATCTCCTCCTCTTCTGTATTTATTCTCCAGGATCTCAGGGCTGAGCTATGAAACTTAGAGTCAAAATTTCCTTGTTCCCCCAAATCCTCACTAACTTGGGACAGAGTTTGATTTTTCCACTCAGCCTTTGAGCTGTAGCTGCTACAAGAGACCTGATGTTGGATCCATCTCTCACATCCTCATTCTGCCCTAGGTGGACACCGGGGGACCTCTGGTTTGCCGCTCCTGGAATGCTGTGAAGTGGTTCCAGATTGGCATCATCAGCCAGGCACAAGATTGTGCAGAAAAGCCAAATTATGAGACCTTAACATCTGTTTTCAGCTATCATGACTGGATGGAGAAGGAGACAGCCATAAGGGGGAAACCTTTCTTCTCTGAAGGTGTGGACTATGGTGCAAATGTCGGGGTCATTCGTTCAAGGGCTGACACAGATGGTGTTTCTGGATTCTTGTCTCCTTTTATCTCTCTCTATAATAGCAGTTAGATTACTCTTGAGAAGATTTTTGAAAACATAATAAAAGTGAGAACTTGCATCTCATTCTTTTTTCTGCTGACCCATATAGCTGTGTCTGAAGCCAAACTGCTCCATCTCACAGACACTAACATGAGATGTCACAATGAGACAGGGAGTGAGGCAGAGGGTGGAGAAATGAAATGAAAGAAGCAGGACTTGGACAGGAGGGACCATAATCTTCTGAAAAAACACAGGTTTTCCACACTGGTGGCTCACGTCAGACCCAGTTATTTACTAAGCTCATATGCAAACTGAAGGTGTGGCATCTGAAGGTACTGATCCCCTTGGAAAGTTGAAACCCAGAGAAAGATCTTCACCTACTCATTGGCATATTAGCTTATCTGTTGGTAGGATAGCTCCAGGTCAATTAATGTCTCTTACACCAGATTATTAGCTGGACTAATGTATATTCTATCTTGCAGCAGGCCCAAGATAAAAGCATCTTCAGAAACCTCAGCAGCTGCTCAAGGACATGACTACATGCCAAATTCAGTGGCTCCTTAAGCTAGAAAAAGGGCAATAAGTCCTTGACCAGTGTTGGAAAGTGGAGCATCATATAACTAACCAGTCTCATTTACCTGGGTGGCAAATGTTGGGGTGTGGGTGTTAAAGGCAATAGAGAAAAATATATCTGCCTAAAGAGCCCCTTCCAGTGCCTAAGGGGGCTCCAAGAGAGCTCTGACACAGGTTGCCCAGAGAAGCTGTGGCTGCTCCATCCCTGGGAGTGTTCCAGGCCAGGTTGGATGGGGCTTGGAGCAGCCTGGGCTAGTGGAAGGTGTCCCTGCCCATGGCAGAGGGTTGCAACTAGATGGTCTTTAAGATCCCTTCCAACCCAAACCATTTTAGGATTCTGTGAGAAGAGAACAATCAGAGCTATCCAGAAAGTGCTGCCTACAGAAACCCCTTAGTTTTATAATTAACCAAAATTAATCCTTTGCAAGTAAATGGAAAACCAAAAGGAAATAGCATTTTAAAATCTCTGTTAGAGGTGTTTGTTCCTGCATTGCTGAGAGCTCCACATCCCACCCTGAGCTGGGACTAAGCTGGTCCTTCACTCTACATATGACCCTTCATTCTACACATAACCCTTCACTGATCTCCAGCAACAAAGTGCATTTCCAAATGCTTTCTGGTTTTCATAAGGAGTTTTTTGCTTTTCTTGGAAGTGACAGAGAAGGAGGCAAGTAGCAAAGTCCCCTTCATGTCCCACCTTTGCATAAAAGCACCTGTAATTTGCAGCACTGATAGAACTCAGTGAATGTGCAATGGGACAGAACCTCACAAATTGGTTTTAATTACCTTGATATTTTCTGGCTAGCTGGTGGAGAAGCCTTGTAAATGAGAATTAATTCATCTACCTTAAGCTAATGCAAACCCATCTTGGCATAAAAGTCAGGCTTTATTTTCTGTGTTATCTGAGCAGAAAATAATGCTTAATTATTATTAGTTCTGAGTAATGCTTATGAAAATTGCTCCACATTAATTTCACATGGCTGACTGGCTAATGGATGCATAAGGGTCTTGTAACCCTTTGCAAAAAGACTAATAAGAGCTAAAAACAAGAGGAATATATTACTTTAACAGCTATTAGTAGTAGACAGTGTCTGCTGGCATTAATACCTATATTTATTTTCCTTTCTATTAATAATATATCATCAGAGTCTAGAAGCTGTGGCAGGGGCTGGACATAAGGAAATATTTCCTAATGCTGCAGTCTCTTCAGATACAGAATTGTTTCCCTGAGGAAATGAGAGAAGTCCTCCTGCTTGAATTATTTTAATGTAGAGATTGTATAAAGCACTTTTGTCTCCAGCAGGGAAAAAGCCTGGCCTTACAGGGACCTGCAAAAGGACCCAGTAGGTCTTTTCCATCAGTAGTGTTTTCAAATTGATCACGGTCTGTGTTAAATGAAGGCAGGACACTGGTGCTGTGGGTTTTGATCCATCCTGCTTCTTATTTACTCAAAGCTTTTGAGGTAAGTTTGTGCTTTGTGCCTCAATTTCTCTCCTTGTAAACTGAGATCATGAAAGTGATTCCACTTTGCTACATGGAAGCATCGCTTTTGCACATTATGACCAGCTATGTGGCTGCAAAGTAATAAACAGGAAAGACTTTTTCCTCCTCATTTAAAACATAAAATTCAGTAAAGTGAATTCATCTTTGCCACTACATCCACTGTTCAGTAATTAGGGTGAGAAAGGAAATGTTTGTTTAACAATTCTAGGCTGTAAGTAAGTTTGATGAAAACATGTTGATGCTGTGTTTTGTTTCAAAGGTATTTGTGTTCAGAGAGAGCATCACTTTTGATTGTGGATTTAATGGGAACGTGTTGGAGTCACACAAAATCAAAATGCAGTGTGTCAGCTTTGTCATTAACATTTCAATAGGACACATTGATGTATTAAGCTTTACAACATTGGTGTACTGTGTTTCTTACGTTATTGTATTCCATGTTTATAGAATCACAGATTAGTTTGGGTTGGAAGGGGATACAGTCAGAACAGCTGATCCCACCTGAGCACAGGAATATTCCACACCATACAATGTCATGCTCAGCAGTAAAATCTTGGGGAAAGAAGGAGGAAGGGGGACTGTTTCAGCTTTTTGGCATTTGTCTCCCCAAGTATTGTTAAGCATGAGGGAGCCCTGCTTTCCTGGGGATTCCTGAACACCTGCCTGCCAATGAGAAGGAGTGACTGCATTCCATAAGGTTTTAAAATAAAGAGGGAGACATTTAAATTAGATATTAGGAAGACATTCTTGGCTGTGAGGGTGGTGAGGCACTGGCACAGGTTGCCCAGTGAAGCTGTGGCTGCTCCATCCCTGGAAGTGTTCCAGACTAGGTTGGAGGGGGCTTGGAGCAACCTGGGCTGTTGGGAGGTGTCCCTGCCCATGGCAGGGAGTTGGAACTAGATGAGCTTTAAGGTCCCTTCCAACTCAAACCACTGTGATTCTATGATTCTCATTGCTTGCACACACAGCTTTGCTTCATATGTTAAACTGCCTTTATCTTGACCTGTAAGCTTTTGCCTTTACACTGGATCCTGCACTTCCATTTTGCTGGCATGTTAAATCCAAAACTCACATGCCTCCAAGGATGCATTTAAAACCACTATTGCAGGTTGGTCCTTACATAAGCTTCAAGTGACTCTTTCATTTCCCTTGCAGCCAGCCCTTGCAGACTTCATGTCTCTCTCATCTCTCAATAACCTAAATGGCACCAAGAACTCTTTTCCACCCCTAAAACCAACTGGCAGTATTCTGCCTGACCCTATGGTTCAACTCTTAGCCTAAAAATTGGAGTAGCTGATCCAAACATCCTCCTGGCAATGGTCCCTGGCCTGTGTTTGGGTTGGTGTTTGTTTGGGCTAACACAGGGCCAGAGCCAGCCTGTGCTTCACTCCCTCCTCTAACCCTGCTTCTTTCCCAGCTCTTCTGCCAATGATTCCTGCTCTACTGCCATCCCAAACATCCTCCTACCAGCTTGGCAGGTTCCCTCCAGTCATGAAGCCATTATTCAAATCCTCAAATGGGCTTAAAAAGTGCATTTTGGTGTTCTGTTTTCCTCACTGTGTTTAGAGACAGTCTGAGTCACTGCTGAAAAGGGCTTTGGCCAGCCTGCTGCCTGCTGATACAGGAAGGGGCTGCATCCCAAACTTCTCAATGCCACCTACGTCCCTGCTTGGCTGCCAGGAATTCAAAGCAATCACAGCACAATTACAGGCTAACTATACAGAGAAGAAAAGGGAATGGTACCATCCCACTGTGATCTCATAGAGAAACACAGAACTGTTCTTTAATAAAGGTAAATCGGTTTCTGCTTCGCTGCATAATGAGCCTCTGATGATTTC